TCTTGCAACAGTAAAATACTAGTATCAATAAAATCTTATCATCGCGTTGTGTAAACCGGATTAACCCTAAAATCAGTTTGAGAAATAGACTGGTGAAAATCATGAGCACACAAAATAAAATAACCATTAATTGATCTAAAAAATTAACCTATTTATTTAATTCTTATGCAATTACTATATCCATTACTTAGAAAATCAAAATATATTCAAACAGTTCTGTAAACTATTGAGTTTTACAATCCAAACTCTTACTTAGTAATATTACTTTAACTTTAGCCTTTAGAATATCTATTATAATTACTTTTACAATCAAGTAAACATATCAGAAATAAACTATGAATAAATGAACAGTACCCTCCCCGGGGAGAAAAAAAAATAGTTTTAACAAGTTACACTTTCCAAAAAAAAAAAAAAAAAAAAAAAAGAAACACTTCCCACAGAATAATCAATACAAGAAAAAAAATACTGCAGACTATTGCACTTAATACCATTAATTAAAAATACAGATAGCTTCAGTTATTGCACATAATAATTTTCTATTTTTTTAAAAGTATAGTTTAACCGCGTAAAACATTAATCTACTTCATGCTATTACAATCCTACAAGCAAAGTTAATCCCTGAGAGGAGAAAAGAGGCTCAAATAATGACACTATTACAAATCAATCCTCACCATGAAGGAACTCCAAAAGTTCAATTAAATAATTTCATGAAGAACTTATTTTTCTTTTACAATTAAACTAAATTACAATAATTTAAATAAGGTTATAATTCCTTAGTCTAATCTAATACTTTTACGTTAATCGGCACACAAAAAATGATTTTCTATAGAGTTAGGTTAAATTTATCAAATACAAAAAAAAAAAAAAAAAAAAAAAGTTCAAGTTCAAATTAAAATCATTTCAATCCTTTTAACTGCAGAAATCTATTACCTCAGATAATTAAAGCAAACAAACAAAAAAACAAACAAACAAACAAACAAAAAAAACTTAGCTTTGACATCCAGACGGACAGCTATGGGATGGGAGAGAGGACAACCATCTTGAAACAAATGGACGTCGTGTTACTGAATAAGGCTCAATCATCTGCTAATAAGAAGCAGGCGAGAGTTCTGGTAAATGGCAATTAATACTATGCAAGATGTATGACCAAACAGGTAGGCAGGGCAATGGTGACAGCAGGAAACCATCCCTTCAGAAGTTGAACGACACAGCCGATTCAGTTGAATTTGAAGCAAACTTCCGCTAAGAGGACGCTCCGATGCTCACAGAGAAATTTTTGTTAAATTCGAATCTGAAGGGGGTCTTAACTCACGCTTAAGATGAAAGTTCAATCCGGATGCAACGTAAAGGATGAAAAGTTCCTAAAACTGCGAGGAGCAAGAAATAGGTGGCACTATATGAGGATCTTCGTTACTCTCTGGGTACGGTGTATTAGTTATTTCTTCACGACGGTTAGACCCATGGTTGGAAGTACTTGATGACATATTGAAAAAAAATGAGTAGTACGATGGAAAATTCAGCTAGTATCGATGTTTAAGGTATTAAAAGATTCTATTATCTCATTCCGTTATTTCACTTGAGCTAACGCAGAAAATTTCTCGGGCCGAAGGTTACGAGAATCCGCAACTTGGACAAATCATTAAGTAAGCCTCAGGAAGCAACGGCCTAACAATAGCCCCTCCACAAATTGAATTCGCTGGGACATGATTCCGAAAAAGCAGCTGTCGGCTAGCACAACATCCAGCGGCAAGTGAAAGTCCAAAAAGTGACCTCGTCCCTCAAAACAACCCGTTAAAAGGGAACGCGCCGGAATACCAACTTGGCATAGCTCACTCCCCGCCAAAAATTAAACCAGTTGCAACTTCGGCATTCCTTCATGTTAACAATCTCGCCAAAGCCACCACTTTGAAACCCCAACGGAAATTCTAAGTCGCCAAGCCGTCGCCAATCAACATACATTATATAAGGAACTAAATAAGAAGAGAAAAAAATCATAGTAAGTGTTGGTACCACATGTTAATCACAAAGAGGGATACATGTACCTATTTACAATTAATCCTACCATGAGTCATGGTTAGCACATATATAAATCCTACCAAAATCAATGTTTATCAAATCCAGATCCTACCATAATTGTATGGTTAGCAAAATCAAATCCTACCATAATCAATGGTTAGCAAATCCAAATCCTACCATAATTGTATGGTTAGCAAAATTAAAGTCCTACCATAATTGTATGGTTAGCAAAATCAAAGTCCTACCATAATAAATGGTTAGCAAATATCCATTAGTGAACCGAGCAAGAGGGTCAAGAAGTGTCCCTGGCACACAACTAAGCATACATCAAAACAAAAATAAAAGTGTTGTCAAACAACACGTGACACGCCGTAAGATAAAATGTGCAAAGTAAAATGTAAAATCACGATACCCCCCAAAAGGCAAACCAAAGTGAAAAGTGTGTATACATACAAAATATGTGTAAATAACAAACACCACTGAGTATACGGGTGTTCAAAGCAAAACAATTCAAGAGCTACTAGCGCTTGACACACAACAAAAATGTAAACAAACTAAGTTCTTGCAATCACCAATTGAAGTGACAATACCGACACAAAAGTACGTTTAAGGAAATGTCTACTGTAAAATCATAATTTTCCCTAAAACACATAATTTCACTTCCCTAAGAACAGACACCTCACCAATACGAGAGGGCATACGAGTAAACACCGCGACTGTACAGCGCAAACTAAACTACTAATAAATCCTTGGCAAAAGAAATTTAAGTGAGTTGCACTAATATGAACAGAAGACAATCACTACGAAGTGTTGGCAAGAAAACTATCTAGTCAAAATTCTAACCGAAACAAATCCCGACTACCATGGCTAAGGGATTTCAAGAAGAGAAAAAAAAATTTTTTGAACTTAAGGAAGTGGAGAAAAGGCGGGGACCAGCCCAGCAAAACCTCCAAAAAAACAAACAAACCAGGCTATTGAGACTAGAAAGCTTCCAAACCAAGACAACTTGATCACAACTTCACATGCCAAAACATGTAAAATCCAAATGCAACACTCGACCAAGGATAAGCCAAGAAGACTACACAACTATACTAATTGATTACAAAATTTAGCCACATAGAATACAATTACCAATAAACAAATAATAATTTAACCAAAATTGTACAAATTGTACAATTTTGTATTCACAAAACACATTATATATTGTACAAAATTGTATTCAAAAAACACATATATATTCTCAAAATTCACTTTTTAGACACAAAACCATGTGTATCTCTAGGCCTTAGATGGTAAGGTGAATCGTGTGACGAGTTCTGTACATTATCTGTCAAAATTGAGTCATCCTTTTGAAGTGTGGGAAAAGTAATTCTCTCTGGTACCTTTGTGAGTCTGTCCACGTGTATCGTCTGAATCCGATCAGGATTTGTAATTGAAGAAATTTTATAGTTGACTTGATTTATAGTTGAGAAATTTTATAGTCACTTGCTCAAAACCCTGAATGGTCCCTGATTCAACTTTAGAGAGTTTTCTAACCATACCTGGCTGAACTACTGGAGTGTATAAATACACCACATCTCCCACTTTTATGTCCTTATCATGAGAAGTCTTTCCACGTGAATTTTCCTGCTTATCCGCAGCCTCCGTTAAATTCTGATTGACTAATTTAAAAGCCTTTTGTAATCTCAAAACCAAATCTTTAGAATAGTTGTTTGTGTCATCATAAGTTCTAAAATTGGTTTGCAATAATAAATCAATTGGTAAACACAAATCCCTGCCATATAAAATAAAAGCTGGACATTCCTGAAGTGCACTATGACGACCAGTTCTGTGTGCCAATAAGGCAAAAGGCAGATGTCTATCCCAATCCTCCTGAGTTTGAGAAACTAAGTGGCTAAGTGAATTAATTAAAGTGGCATGGCATTTAATCTTTCAACTACACCATCAGATTGAGGATGATAACTCGTAGTAGTATGTTTAGTAACCCCCAATTTCTTATAAACTTCCATTATAGCTTGAGAAATAAAATTAGTACCTTTATCTGTAACAATGTGCTGAGGTATACCATGAGTTGAAATAAATTGTTCTAATTTCTCAATTATGGATCTGGATGTGGTGTCCTGCAAAGGATAAGCCTCAGGAGTAGTAAGCCACCGTACTCGGTAGGCGGAAGTGACGTCACAGAAAAGGGGCGTGGTCGCCGCCATCTTGAATCACGTGACAACCGGAAATGACGTAGATGGAAGGAATGACGTTGACGGAATGACATCATCAAAGTTTCGTTTTGATTCTGTGGCAACGATTTTATGTCTCAAAGTTTTTATTTTTGTGGCAACGAACATATAATTTTAGGTTTTATGGCAACAGTATCTTGAACTACGTGTTTGGAATGACATCACTTTTAATTTATTTTTTTTAATTATTTGGACATGTGATTAATATTTTTAACTATTTAGTATGTCATTAATTTAATTATTTACTCTTTTAATAAGTATTTTAATTATTTACTACTTGCGTATTATTTTAATTATTACCTTTAATTAAATTTTATTGAATTTTAAAAATAGCTCCACGAGCGGGATTCGAACCCGCAAACTTTAGTTTGGAAGGCGATTTCCCAAACCACTATGCCAGTGAGACCTTACAAGCTAGGTCATATTATCGCGTTGAGTAGAAAAACAACCATGACGTCAGGAGGCTGGGGGAAACAGGCAAACGTCATCTCTTTCACGTTGCAGCCTGTCGAAACCGCTTCACGCTTTCTACATCCGCCGTGGCGAACGTATACAATCTTAACAACCAATCAGATTCTCACTAATATTTTCTATCTTATTTCAGCCAATCAGCGTGTTTGTTTCTTATACATCGCCTATATATTCGCTCGCGTTGACGAATGCAATCATTTCTACTGTGGTTGTTGCTGAGCGAACGTTCTCTTCCCTTTTTGTGATTTTCTTTTGCGCCATTTTCATTTTATCTATACGATGTCTGCTAAACGAGTTTTTTCTGCATCTAATGTAAGTATAATTTTTTGCTTCTACTTTATTTTTAGATTACCAATTTTTTTAAACACGTTATTTATTCTACTTTTTTTAATTGTTAGGTGTTATTTGAAGATTCTGATTGTCCTTTCCGTGATTCTGATGACGATGTAAGTTTTTACACGTATTTTCGTAGCGTACTTTTTTTTTTTTTTTTCTGAATGTATTTTACCATTTGAGCTTTTTTTTATTTTGAATGATCCACTTTTATTTTGATAGTTTATTAGATGAAGTGGATCAAATTTTCATGGAAAATCCCCTGATTTTGCCCCTGTACTATCATGTGGGTTCCGGATTTGAGGTAAATTTTCGTTTCGTTATGATTCTGTTAGAATATTTTTATAGAACTAGAAAATGAATGTATTTATTTTTATTTATTTATTTTTAGACTTCTTCCTCATCAGCTCATGGCTCTGTGTATATAGCTGCTTCGAATGAACGATCGGTATATATTTTTCTTTTCTTGCATGATTTATTAAAATAATGTATTTTGAAAATGTTTGATTATTACTGAAACTTATTTATTTTTTTTTCCAGATTGATGAGGCGATTGTACTCACAGAGAAGTCTCGTCGACGAAACCATAAATATCAGGCCGAGGAGATTACCTTCCGGGCCAGTATAGATATGGAACGGCTGCCTCAGAACGTGCAAGGCATCCCGATGGTCCGAATTCCTGACACCGTCCGGGAGTTGTTTGAGCAACTTATTCGCCGGACAACAGCAAATCTGGGCCCATCAGACCTCATCCGATTCTGTATCCAAGCAGATGGGTGGGATAAGCCGATTAGCACGTCCCTGATGGCACAAGGGCTTCACCGCCGTGGCACACAACATGAAAGGGTAAGTTAAAATCCTATAATTTGCATGCTTTAATTATGACTATGCTTTCAATATTATTCCATAATATTTTTTTTACTTACAGGTTCGATGGGCAGTTCGTGATGGCCTGGCTCCTGAAGCAAGGCACAGCGCCGGAGGTGATCCCTAACGGGTCTATGACCATGAGTGTAAGACACCCCAGTCTCAACATTCGGGTCATAGACTCGTTAAACTTTTTACCGATGGCGTTGGCCAAACTACCGGGATGCTTCGGTCTCACGCGAGTTAAAGAAAGGGATACTTTCCCTCATCTCTTTCAACTCGAGGGAAAACCAGAGTTATGTCGGACCGCTGCCTGAACCCCCACTACTACAGCCCGGATACCATGAGCACTTCAGCCCGACAAGCATTTCTGTCCTGGCATGAGGAACACAAGGGGGGGGTGTTCAATTTTCAAGACGAGATGCTGGCCTATTGCAGGTATGTTTTTTTCCTTTTTTCTTGCTTTAATTTTATATTTTATGTTTCGTATATTTAACATTTTCTTTTTATATTCATAGATCGGACGTGGATATTCTTCGCCGCTGTTGTCTGGAGTTTCGAGCCCAGTTTTTGGATGTGGCGAATGTGGATCCATTCCAGTAAGTTATTTTCTTAATTCTTTTATACAGTAATGATCATGTTTACAGTTATGTTCTTATAGACTAATCATGCTCATGAAATTGTTCTTTTTTTCTTTTCAGATACGTGACCATTGCGTCAGCGTGTATGGCAACGTATCGGAGTGGCCACATTCAGCCTAACACGATTGCCATGGTACCCACACACGGCTACGTCAACTCCACGAATTACAGCCCTGATTCGATCCGGTGGTTGGACTTTGTTGCTGCTTCGGAAGGCATTGCCATTCAACATGCGTTGAATGGTTCCGGAGAGCACAGAATCGCCGGAATCTCGGTAGACGGTTTCTGCCAAGCAACTCAAACAAACCGTCTATCAGTTTCAGGTATGTAAAATAGTAACCATTATTTTTCTATGTGATTCTTTTTAATGATTTTACACTTTTAATGTTTAATTTACATGTGGAACACTATTAATATATTTGTATTATTTTAGGGCTGTTTCTTCCACGGGTGTAGTTCGTGTTATGACGGTGATGTCATTCATCCACTAAAAGGGGTTTCCATGGCAACGTTGCGAGAGAAAACGGAAGAGACCACAAGAAAGCTTCGCACCCAGGGTTTCCACGTCATAGAAATGTGGGAGCATGAGTTTCAGAAGAGAAAAAGAGGAAAATCCGGATCTCCAAGCTTTCCTGGAGCAACACCATCTGAGGGACCGGCTCAATCCTCGAGACTCATTTTTCGGAGGAACGGACCAATGCCCTCAAATTGTTCCACGAGGGAGACGCTAAAATATGTGGATTTCACATCACTCTATCCATGGGTTCGTACTTTTTTTATATTTTAAAAACCTTTTTCATGGATGATGTGTTTTTTCTGATTTTTATGTATGTTTTTTTGACTTTTTGTTTTATTCACAGGTGAACAAATATTGCGTCTACCCTGTAGGGACATCCGGAACAATCATCACGGAAAGCTTTGGGGATGTAGAAAATTACTTTGGACTTATCCAATGCCGTGTGATTCCTCCACGGAACCTCTATCTTCCGGTACTGCCCTATCGGTGTAGGAAGAAGCTCATGTTCCCCCTGTGTCGGACTTGTGCCTTTCTACAGTCTGCAGTCTTCCTGTACCCACACAGACGATGAAAGAGCTCTTGTCGGAACGTGGGTATCGGAAGAAGTCAAGCTGGCGATAAAAGAAAGGTTACCGCGTCACACATGTAAGTATTCAAAGATTATTTAAATTATTTGTCATAACCCAAATTTATTTTAAAATCTTTTGTCATAACTGAAATTTATTCTTTATTTTCTAGATTTACGAAGTGTATCATTTCAAAGAATCGTCTACTTCCCTGTTTCGTTCCTACATTGATCTCTTTCTGAAGATCAAACAGGAAAGTAGCGGTTGGCCTTCGGAGTGTGTGACGGAAGAAGCCAGACTGAAGTACATTCGCCAGTATGAAGAAAGAGAGGGCGTCAAGTTGGACGCTGGAAAGATTTCCAAGAACCCTGGGCGTCGACAAGTTGCCAAGTTGGCCCTGAACAGTTTCTGGGGCAGGTAAGATGATTTCTTTTGTACTTAAATTTTTTGTAAACATTTTTAATTCTTTGTGATTTATGTTGAATTTTTGTTTCAGATGGGGCATGAACGTCAACAAAGCGCAACTGACCTATGTACATACGGTGCCAGACTTCAATAAGATGTTGGCGGATCCTACTAAAAAAGTAAGTTTTTATCTTATCGATTTTATCCATCTATAAGCTTAGTGTGTTTCAAACTGTTAACTCATAACTATTTTGAACTGTTAACTCATGATTCTTCTTTTATTTTCAGATCAAGGATGTCTTCCTTCCCACGCCTGAGGTGGCTGCCATTTGCTGGGAATCTTCAAAGGAGTTTGTACCGCAGGATGCCTCGACCAACATTTTTCTAGCGACTTTCACGACAGCTTGGGCTCGTCTCAAGCTGTATAGTGAAATGGAGAAGCTGGGTCGAGATGTCCTGTATCACGACACAGATTCCATCATCTATGCCTCGAATGGTTGCAACGATCCCCCCTTAGGAAACTTCTTAGGAGAATTTACCGACGAACTGGATGGAGATGTTATCAAAACCTTCGTGTCAGGTAAACACCTTTAAAAAGTTCCTTATTTAATATGTACCAAAAAAAATGTTTAATGTTTTTTCTATTATCTCTTTTTGTCTCATGATGTTTTATTTTTTCAGGAGGACCGAAAAACTACGCATACCAGACGGCCACTGGGAAAACCTGCTGCAAAGTCCGAGGATTTTCATTGAACTTTCGGAATTCCCAGTTGCTGAATTTTGAAGCCATTAAAAGTCTGGTCTGCAGCCTCGACCGAAGTGAGATCATCTCTCTCCACAACCCCTGCAAAATCACCCGAGAAGCGAAGAGAAGAAAGGTGGTGAATAAACCGGAAACAAAACTGTACAGAATTGTGTTGGATAAAAGGGTGATCCAACAGGACTTGACCACCTTACCATATGGGTTTTGAAAACGACTTTTGTAAAAATGTGTGGTATGTACAAAAAATGTTTATATGTAAAAAGACGTTATGCACAGTATTTGCGTGTAAAAACTTATTTAGATAAAAAATAAACAGAAGTTTGAAAATTATGGTGTTTTTTCTTTTTTCAAAGAATGGCATGAAAGGTAAGTTTTTATTATTTTAAGAAAATTGTTATATTTTTTCAAAAATTATTATTATATGTTAGTTTAATTAGAAAGAAAAACATAACACAAATAATCAGAAATTAACTTTTATTCATATCTCAAAGTATTACACATGTCATTACAATTTTAGCCACAGCTGCGAAGAGGATTTTCTTTTAGGTCTAGCATACATAGTTTTTACATTCATTAAATGTTTGTTTTTGACAAAGTCTTGAGGAAAGTTGTTAACATTCAGTACATTTTTAAACTGTTCAAAGGCAAAAGGTTTTTGAGTTCTATTTCTCAACAGAAAGTTTATCAACTGAACAATGTCAGAGCCAGAAAACACATGATCATCCAGAATGAGTTCTTTATTCTGTGTCCAGGAAATCTGATGCTCTTTTAGAAAATCTATTATTTTCTGTGCCGTTCTTTTCTGCTTCACAGGAACTGTTTGCATAATTTCTTTTTCTATATCTTTCTCAGAACGTTGTTCAGGCGGTTGTTCTTCAGAAGTGTTCACATGAGGAAATGTAACATACTTTTGCAGAACCTGGATGTACAATTTAGACTTTTCTCTTCATCGTCCATTTTCTTTTTTAAGATGTTTTGAATTTGGGTATCTAAATCACTCAAATGTTCATCTTCAAATTGCTGCATACGATCCAGGGGTACCAGCGCAAATTTCTTACTGTGTTTCCATGGATAAGGGAGGATAAGACACTGACTGCTGCAGGAATCAGGAAAGATAGGAAAACCGTCACCTTTTTGAACCAAAAGACGTCTTTTCTTAAAAAGAGGTACTTTTTTGTCCGCTAGTTTTCTTAAAGTTCTTTTAAAAGGGGCGAGTCGATTTTTGACGCGTTTGGTGATGGGTACGTTTCCTTTTAGAAGATTTAAAAAAAACGCATTCACAAACTGATTTGATGAGATGATTCGGACACTTTTTCAGTACAGCTGCTTTTATTCGACTTTTTCCTAATAGTTTTAGATAATCCACATCCTTCAGATGAGACATGCTGATGACAAATGAGCTCTTCTTCCTTGCACACTTTCTTTTATATAGGTAGCAAATGCAGCCGCTTTGGTTAAAGCACAGCAATTAAATCCTTTTGCATGAATCGAACATGTTAAAGAACTTTCTTTTTTAAATTCTCTATCTTAGGACAGTCTAGATTTATGATGTCTCTACATAATAAATTTTCTAAAAATAATTTTTTTTCTAATCCTTTCACGTATATGACAGAATAAATAGATGACAAATATTGCAAAATAATACGAAGGTGAGTATAAGGTAATACACCCTCACTCCAATTCATGTGATGACGATTTCTTGTGACCCAAGCAAAACACTTTTGCTGAGATCGTGATAATGTTTTCCAAGGTTGAGGAGGTAAAAATGACCAACAACTCTGATATCCTTCATGCACAGAATACAAGGCTAATTCTTTAATAACGTAGCGATGAGGCATCCATTGAAAACCTTCCAAATCGATCACGATGGGAGAAGACATGTGTTGTGTAGCGAATTTAATTTAATTAAGTGATTCATAAAAATCAAAATTTTAATTTGTAATTATTCAAAATTTGAGCTACACAAGTTTGGTTATATTCTTTTTTGGCTTATTAATTTTAGTGTAATATATTTTGGCTTTCCGAGTTTACGCGAACTGCGTCGTCAATCTTGTACACGCAAACAATGGATAGATGAATTTTTTTACGTAATAAACTCAGTTTTTCATGTCAAAAATTAATTTGATTTCTTAGTATTTAATATCGTTAGTTGCAGAAAAATTAGCTCTTTAATTTGACATAACTTTCGTTTTTCTAACTTTAATTGCATTTCAGTTATGAGCTTTAATTAGTAGATTTTTCTTCGTTTGCTTGTGATTTAGTTAAAGGGGGATGAAATGCCCTCTTTCCGGTTGAAAAGTCACTTTTTGCGAGTTTCAGCGTTCTTTCGTTGGGACCATTTGCAGGGTTGTTGAAATTCCTAATTTCCCCCTTCCACAGGTGGTGTTTTTTGGAGGGTTTTGGCGACATAGAATTTCCGTTGAGGTTTCAAAGTAGGTGGATTTGGCGAGTTTGCTAACATGAGGGTATGTTGTTGTTGCAACTATTTTAACTTTTGGCGAAGAGTGGGTTGTGCCAACTTGGCAGTCCAGCGTCCTCCCTTTTAACGGGTTGTTTTGGGGGACGAGCACACTTTTTGACACGTCTTCTGCTTTTTTGAATTCCTTTCTGTTACTGAACGCGAGGCGGCAGCAGATTCCGCCGAGAAATGGATTTTAACTCCCGTTAGGACCTACGGGCCTCGTGCCTCCGCGCCTTGAGCGCGGGCCCTGGTTTACGCGTATCTTTGTCTCCACCTAATTCTTCGTAGCATCATTGTTATCTACATTTAAGTTCTCAAGAAATATAATGCTGAAAATTCTCGTCTAGAAGGATGTCTCTACCTAGTTCTCTACCTTAGAAATGCTTCATTAGCTTCTTGCTTCCTCAGACGATAGTTTATTTTATTTGGTTGGTCAACACCCGCTGCTTCTATGAACTTAGAAGTCGGACTCGCCTTTTCCACCGACAGATTCCTGAGCTGAAAATTTTCTCCAATAAGGGACTGATCAACTGATTTGGCCGTTTCACCACCAATGTTCCTGAGACCTCCTAGATGTTGACTCGTCGTTTCCCTCTGAGGATGTCCGAAGTTGTCTGAAGAATTTGTTCATCATTACTCTCCTCGTCTCTCCAATAAGGGACTGATCAACTGAATTGGCCATTTGATCCTCTTCGTTCTTCATAAATCTCCTCGTTTTCTCCCCATCCGGAACTGCAATATTCACAAGAAATTCAACGACTCTGCATTCGACGAACATTTTTTTTTTCTTTCTCTTTCACAGCAGCAGTCCTCATGAGCTTCAATGGAAGTTCTCCTTACAGATCCCTTTTTGTTTTATGCTTGGTTAGTCAAGTATTATAGATTTCTGCAGTTAAAAAAAGGAGCTTGATTTAATTTAATTTGTTGAACCTAAATTGATGTAAGTGATAATTTTATCCTAACTCTATAGAAATGATACTTATTTTTCCCTTGGTATATCGATTAAATAAAGGCGTTAAATTTAATAAAGAATTATAGCCTTATTAAAATCATGGTAACTTAATAGTTTTTGAGAAAGAAGTTCTTCAGGAATTATTTAATTGAATTTTTCTTTGTATTACTGATTGGTGAGGTTTATTAGTAATAGTGCCTGTATTAGAGCATTCTTGCTCCTCTCAGTACTAACCTGTTGTATAAGTGCAAAGGTGTCACTACATATCTTTATCCGGTAAAACCATATTTAATTAATCAAAAAAAATATAGAGAGAGAGGTTAAAATTTGCTTTAATAGTGTTTTTAAATGATGGTATTGAGTGCAATATTATGAAATATTATTTTTTGTTAGGTGTGAAGTGGATAGAGTAACTTGTTTAAATTTTTTTTTTATTTATTATTTGCTCCCCGGGGAGGTTACTGTTCTTAAATTTATAGTATAATTTTTTTTGGTATGTTTTACCTGTTGTTTGCAATATTAAATTTAGTAATAACTACAAGGAT